AGGGGAGATGGGGGGGGAGAAATTTAATTAACTAACTAACTAACTAACTAACTAACTAACCTGATTTAGTGCATTACACAAGCTCAGAAATTCTGGCTGGGTTTTTACAGCACCTCAAGGCCTCTATCCAGGTTAATGATACTCGTGGTACCCAAGCCAATAAGCCATATTCCGGCTTTAATGGACAGTCTGGCTCAAACAGTTGGCTTCAGCTGGAGTAGCTTTTAAACCCAGCAAGATAGACACATAAATTTAAAAATCTTGCTAATCCACAAGGAACTCAGTCCTCATTTCAGTCTAGTTGGCGTGTTGTGAGAACGTAGCCCGTTTCTTGCAACCGTGCTACAAGGCAGGGGTTGTAAGGCAAGCCTTCAATCTTTGGTGGAAACTACTGACAAATAATCATAAATGCATAACTGACAAATAACCAGGAGACGGATTCCATCCTAGAGAACAAAGCAGCATCTCACAGAGACATAGGAACTGCCTAACTGAAGAACCGTAGAAGTTGTGTTATATACCAGTTTCAAGACTTTGCCCATACAACCCAATGTTGCTTGCTCTGACTGGCAGCAGCAGCTCCCTCACTCTCCCATCGTCTCGTCTTACAACTGCTCTTGCAGAGCAGGGGCTAGCATGCCTCCCCACATTGCCCTGGCCTTCATGGCTCAACCAGCAGAGTCCCAGCCATCAATCTGATTTCAATCCACCATCAGAGCAGGTGGGAACATCAGACTGCCCTTGGGAGGGCCCAAAACAGCACAGCAGGGTCAAAACCGGTTACGGGAGACGACCAGAAGAGTCCAAAGAGGTAGGCAAGATTAGAAAGTTGGAAAAATATCCCCAAAGAAGGGAAAGACAAGCGACTTCATATTCTTGCTCAAGTAGGTCCATGTCTAAAGAAGTCTCTGCTTTTTTTTTTTTTTTAACACTGCCAAAAAAGGGTTTTCCTGTTGCCTACCCAATCCTTTTTGGTTTTTTTCCCTATTTACCAGGAATTGAAACTGGAGCTTCCTTCTCTTAAAAGCAGGGGGTCCTACCTTCCTGAGCACACTCAAGAGTGAGGGGTTGGGTGGGGCCAGGCCCACCCCGCTCCTTCCGTTCATCATTTCTGGCAGGTGAGTCAAGCCATCCTGCTCCAGGACCACGGCGTTCCCATTGCTCAAGCTGAGCGGTTCTCCCTTGGAACCGTCTGCCACAAGAGTGGAACCATCCTCTGGAGAGACACAAGATCAACATGGCAACCTGTCAACCTATGACCTTCCTCAACCTGGGATTCTCGGGGGGGGCAGACTTCAGATCCCATAACCGCCCAGCTTATAAACACTCCGTAAATATGAATAAATGAAATTAAAAGAGTGCTTCTACGCCTCTCTCATTCCACCCAAATCTATTTCTTCACCACATCAACCCCTGGAATTGTATATGTCCAGACTGGTGATTGCTGAAATGCAATTGGGGCGGGGGCAGTGTGCCCAAAAGTATGGCCCAGTTCAAATTTGGTTTATTTTCAACCATGTTAATGAACTATACTTATTCTCTGTGTACCTAATAATTTTCCCCTTAGGCAATGTTCAAAATTAGACTTCAGTGGCAAAATTGCTATTACAAGGTCCAGGGTCTCACCCCCGGGGGCTCGGGTTGCAAATCTCTGCCATAACTTTGGATTGTTTCAAAATGTTGAGCAGGGCTCCACAAACCGGTTGCAGAACAAAGAAGGGGGGAAGTCAGAAATTAAGTATTTATCTATATTGTTTTATTTTCCCTCTCTCTTTTTCTTCGTCTCCTATTTTTAACATTTATAAATAATAATATAGTGAGCTTTTATATCAAGCTCAACCATTTATATATTTTTTAAAGGTCATTAAAACGACTCAGTGTACTCTGCTTGTTATCTCTTGTTAATGTATTGAGCATGAATTGTATAACGTCAGTAATTATCTGTCCATCTACACTCTTTTTTTCAGAATATATCTCCAAATCTTTTAAAGTCTCGCCTTCAGGAAGTTAGGTTAAGAAAAATAGGGAAGTTGTGGAAGAAGGCAAAAGAGAGGTGAAATTCAAGTGTTTTGCTTTAAGACCTCAACCCCTCTGATGTTAGATTCTGGGTAAGGGAAAGAAAAAACTGTCAAATTCCCTTTGATCAGCTTTGATCAACCAGTTTGCCTTTTGGATGCGTGGACTTCAGTTCCCAGAATTCTCAGCCACAGCCACTGCTGAGGATTCTGGGACTGGGTCCGAGGACAAGCAAAGCACCTAGGAGAAAAGACCCTTGATCACAAGCTTTCCCAACCGAATTCCCTCCAGATGTGTGGATGTGCAATACCCCTCGTGCTCAGCCAGGATAGACAATGGCTGGGCATTTGGGGGGTTGTAGTCCAGCCCTTGGGACGATCACCAGGCTGGGAAAGGCCGATCTTGAAGCCAACCAGGAATACATTAAAAGAACATGGAAATCTTCACCACCACCAGCCCAGCCAGGCTTGGACAACTTTTCAATTCTCCCCATTTTTTTCATTCAGACGTCCCCACCTGGAGAAAGAAGGCCTGTCTTGGTCTCCAGTTCACATCCTAAATCCTCTTGGGGTCTCTTGTCCAGAAAATACCGGGCAAAGGTCTGCAGAGAAAGAAGAAGGGCTGATGATCTCTGATGGCTGAGCGAGCTAGCTGGGAACACCTGATCAGCCTTGATGGATCTCAAACAGCCAAGCAGGGTCACACTGGATGGGGCACCACCAGGAAACCCCAGAGCTTGAGGCTAGGCTAGCGTTCCAGATTGTCCATAAGGCTCCTCTTACAAACAGTATTCCTTCCTAAGAGTCTATACTAGCCTTCTCCAATCCTGGCTAAGAATTCTGAGAGTTGAAGCTGCTGTCCCAAAGCATCTGGAAAGTGCCTGTCTGGGGAATGCTAATCTAGATTCTCCCTTCCCATTACATGCTGACGATGAGGTTTATAACAAAAGAAGGGGGGGGGGACTCTTTCACAGGGATCTAACAAAACTAGCAATAACTTTTTGGTACCTGGGATTTGCCAGTTCTGATTTTAAGTGCTATTTGACGAATCCCTAATTGAAATTTCTAGGTGTAGTCCAGCATATTTTAGAAGCAAAGAGATGTTGGAGGTCCAGTGGTAAGGCACGCATACCTTGATAGACAGAACCACGATTGTACATACCAACTCATACATATTATTGTGGTAGCAATAAAGGATAGAGCATATTTGTAGTACTTTTAAAAACTATTTAATCAGATTACAAGATTACAAAACTTCCTAGAAGTCAATGGCAAAGCAGATGACAAGAAGAAGTCCATTCAAAGCCAACTTTACCTTTTTATCTATTCTCCCTCATTCTTCTCTTATCTCTGCAAGAAGCCCGCTCAGAGATTTCCCTCATCTGTCTGCAGAGCCTTTTTATCCTTTACCTTTTTATCTATTCTCCCTCATTCTTCTCTTATCTCTGCAAGAAGCCTGCTCAGAGATTTCCCTCATCTGTCTGCAGAGCCAGGGGAAGACGGAAAGCGAACCTTATCTCACCTGGTGGGGCAGCAAGAGATAACAGGCGATAGAAAGGAAGGTCCCAACGCAGGGGGTGACGAAATAGATCAGCGCAGACGTCTGGGCATCCAAGCCACCTAAACCGGAGAGAAAAGAGGCGGATGAGCAGATGACCCGGGGCACAATTTCCTGGGTCAAACGTTCCCCAGATTCACCCATTCCAGCATGAAATTGGGGCAGCGACGCTGGAAGATGCACAGCAAGCATCAAGGAAGAGCTGGGAAAATGTCACCCCCTGGCAAGAAAAGTCATAAGGTTATTTATTCGGCAAAAGGCTGGGAGGGGGGGTTTTGGGTCGAGCCAGTAGGCTTCTCCATCTCTCATAACAGCACAAGAACGTACGAAGGTCACCCTGCTTCATTTCAGCTGAGTTAGATTCCCGTTCCCTTGCAAGACCCTTTGCCGGATCCTAGATTCCCATCGTTCCCCAAATCCTGGCGGGCTGGCCTCGGATTAAGGCTTGATTGACAGCTACACTTTCCTCCTCGCCCACCATCAAAAATATGAGAGAAGCCGCCCTAAGAACCAGCGCATTGATTACGGTATCGATCTCCGTGGGTGACCTCTCTCGCGCTTTTCCTCGGAAAGATCTCCCCCACCTCTTTCGACCCAGGACATGCTTTTCAGACCCCGATACTCACTGGCCAAAGACAGCAGCATAGCGACCGCCGCGAACGTCCCTGCCATCCCTTGGCCGCTGAGAAATAGGGTGCTGTATCTTTGCGGAAAGGACCCCAGCTGGCCGAAGAGGCTTCCTTGCAGGATGGCACAGAAGGCTGATGAAGGCGAAGGAAGGCAATGTCAAGGAGGAGGCTGTGTTGGGTGTTTACTTTCCATACGCAAGGAGACGTGAGAGCCGAGCTTCCACCCACCCACCTGTTTCCCTGAATCCTGGTCTGTCCACAAGGGCTGGATCGCATTATCCCATTTATTTGGATGTAAAGGTATCAATAATGTATCAATAAATCAATAAACTGTATCTATTAAAATCAGTAAACATTATTGATAAGCATAAAAGGGGATTCTTATCTCTAAGCCAGTGTTTCTCAACCTTGGTAACTTTAAGAGGGGTGGACTTCAACTCCCAGAATTCCCCAGCCAG